TTACCGTGAAAGACCGAAATTGGAGAATGTCGACTTTCACCGGAGAATATCAACATACACCAAATACATCGGTGAAAGACCAAATATTTCACTACATTCTTGTATATTTGGACCCTCACCGGTGTACGTCGACAATCACAGATATGCTCTGGTGAAAGTCGAAAAGAGAGGTCATAAAGTGCCATAATAGTTTAAGTTGTTGCAATAAAAGATTTGATCACATAATTTAGTAAGTTTTTATTACTGATATTTTATTTTCTCATTTAGAACGTACGGTATAATTAAGTAAGTTTTTAACTTCTATATTTTCCTTTCTCATTTTGAATGTATTGTGTGTTTTAGGTTCTCGTGTTTCTATTTCAAGTCAAGTACGTTTTTCGCGACTGAATTACAGAGAGAAAATATAATATTGTTATATGTCAAAATTCACCATTAGTAATGGTGAATGTCGACATTAACCGGTGCAAGTCAGAAATAAAGTATTTGGGAAAATATTTCGGACTAGACAAAGAGGACTATGTGAATGTTGACATCACCGGTGAAAGTCATTCTCCAGATTTCGGTGTTTCACGTAACATACACTGGTGTGCAAAATTAAGGACGAGACGGTTTTTTCAATATAACTTTGTACAAAAGCTTCCAAATCAACACATTTAATACCGTAAGATCCCGAATACGTAAGGACATGAGTAATGTAAGCAACACTTACTAAAGAGAAATCAGAGGATATAAAAAGAGCTTCATTGAAAAAGTAGGATGGAGCGCAATGCGACTGGAGGCCGAAACATCCCTGTGATGGGTGTCCAGCAAGAAACATCCGGTCTTTAATAGAGGATATGATCTCCCCTGACTGCTAGGCAGGTTTCACAGCGTCTGCCCATGCTGAGAATGAGGGTGTCAATGAGTTGTTGAGGCATTGCTGCCCATTCGTCTTGCAGCGCCAATTGAAGCTCTGGAATCGTTACTGGTGGTAAGGTACGAGCTGCCAAGCGTCTGCCTAGAAAATCCCATACATGCTCGATGGGATTGAGATCCGGAGATCGTGCCGGCCAATCCATACGTTCAATATCCTCACTCTCTAAGAGCTGTTCGGCAGCTACTGTGCGAAGACATGGTGCATTGTCGTCCATGAAAAGGAACTGCGGACCCATAGCGCCTCTAAAAAGACGCACATATGGAAGAAGAATCTCGTTACAATAACAGGTCCCGTTGACTGAACCTGCGTCGAAGATGTGAAGGTCTGTATGACTACCAAGCATGATGCCTCCCCAAACGAGAACACCACCACCTCCATACCTGTCCCTTTCAATGATGTTTGAGGGATGATTGCGGCTTCCCCGCTCTCTCCAGATGAGTATGCGATTAGAATCGCTACTCAGACTGAATCTGCTCTCATCTGTAAAGAGTACTCGTCCCCATTCATTGTCTCTCCAATTCCGGTGTTCCCGGCACCACAGAGAACGCCTTCTCCGATGGGCAGGCGTTAGAGGTACACACCGTACAGGGCGTCATGCAAACAGACCACCACCGTGCAGTCTTCTGGCCACGGTAAAACGTGATATCGGTCGTCCAGTCACCTGTGTCGTGTGTCTAGTGATTTCTCCTGCTGTCTGCCGCCTGTTTCTTCTGGCCTGTAAGGCAATATACCGGTCATCTGCGGGTGTGGTTCCTCGTGGACGACCACTACTAAACCCCCAGATAGCTGTTCCTGTAGTTTGAAATTGTCTCCAAAGTCGTGAAACGATGCTGTGAGCAATTCTGAACTGTGCAGCCACACTTGTCACACTGCGGCCTTCCTCCAACTTCCCAATGATTCACCTCGGGTAAAAGCATCCAGATGTCGTCTAACAGATTGATTATTCGCCATTTCTCACTGAGGCAGCAACTTGGTGTGATTTTAACTGCTATACGGCGTGCAATCTCTTTGCCAGAAATACTGATCTTACACTGACAACATGCTTTATACTACTCAGACACTCCCCCATTACGTCTACCTGCATATCTGCGCATGTGCTACCGTACATCACCTTACTTAATCTCCTGATTGGTCTTTCTGTCCGCTCTGCCTCTTTGTTCAGCTGATATGCTAATTTTTCGACTTCGTCCTTAATTTTTGCACACCAGTGTATGTATATATACAATCAAAAATGTAAATTGCTTGTTAGACACTCATATAAAAAGAAGAGATAACTTCCAGAGAAAATAGTATATTATTGTCTTTGCAGTGAAAGAGTTGCTTTAAATGCTTAAAAATATTATAAATATTAATTTTAATAACATTCTCCTACGCAAAAATATGAAATAAACAAAAATGCAAATTAAAAAAAAGGTGATATTTTTTAGATCAAATTGAGGAAAAAATGAAACAGTTAAGTGGTTAAGCAGAACTATTTCTGTCACTAGAAATCACTTTAAAAAAACTGCATTCTACAAGGAAATAGTGAATGATTCCTTAAATTTGAACTTCATTTTAAATATAAGTTCTATTCCTGAGCTCATGTGATTACTCAAAATGGCACTGAACATACACAGCAAGTTATAACACAAGCAACAGCACACAGGAATGATGATGAGTTTATGAGATATGCAAAATATTACTTTAAGTTACAGCCAATGACTATAGGAAAAAAAAGAAAATAATAATTGCTTAAAAGGGAAAGAATGCAGAAAACGAGTTTTCCTAAATGGACCAACAGTAACATCAATGCAGTAAACATAATAAGCAGTTTCAAACACTAAACTGCTATTTTTTTTTTTTTTTTTTTTTTTTTTGTACTGTGTACTATACTTAACTTTGAAGATCTAACTTTAAATTGGTATTCACTTTCCATAGCCATAATACTGTTATTACATGATGCAATTAAACACAGCCATACTTCTGATTCATTCTGCGCATTGCTCATAATAGAGTAGTTATGCAAGTGTAACCATGTTGAGGCTAAAACTGACAGGAAATTCACTGTTTCAAGACTGCATACATTCTACAGTTTTTAAACAATTTATAAGATATTTTCTGCCTCCTTTCCACATGCCTTTGTGGTGTACCTGGAAGCATGCTCACTCAATGGATATTCGGGAGGTCTGAAGTTCGAATACCAAAGCAAGGGCATCGCACATTTTCACGTTCTTGCATTAATATAATCTAATGATTATATGAACAGACTGCTGAAGCACAGGTACTTTGATGTTTCCAAAACTTTATGATTATGATTCTTTGTTCATACTAAGTTTTGCCCAACTTGAAAAGTCGTATTCATCCTCTCCTCTGCTATTTCACAGTCAAGATACCACATCTGATACACCCATCTGATAGCTTGCCTCCTACTGTCTACATTGCTGGCCTATTTCTACCTTCCTCCCCCCTTTTACATTAGTTGTTCCTTAGTTTTTGTGAAGAAAATGATGCTGAAAGCAACCTTAGCAACAAAAAACATGCAGAACATACTGTTTAATGTTGCTCAGCCTGAAAGAAAAGTCTTAATTGGTACAATTTTCTTGCTCCCAAAAGCCACATGCGTGGCTCTTTCATCTGAGTACAGGGTTATTCTTAAGATCCAAATAAATGGCTGAATAAATTAGTATTTTACTATCCAAAAAATTGATCGTATCCATGTATTGTAATACCCAGCTTACAAGCTTACAAGCGTATGGCAGCCAAGGCAAGTTGATGTTACAAGACTAAGGTTACATGCACAAAACAAGATCAGATATTTTCAAAGCAAATCTTGTGTTTTAGATTGCTTGCATCTATAATTACTGATGAGTCAACCTAAGCACAAATGTGAGATAAATGCATTTTACAAACAATGCTATAATGGACAGACAAAAATATGGAAGGAACAGAAGCAAAATAATGACATAAAAATGCATCTGAGAGTGGCTACACTGTAATACATACTATGGGAATCTCCAATAATTGAAACCCTGAATACTACTTCCCTGCAGATGCAATCACTTGGTACCAGGTCTTAATTATTATGTCTGAAGAATTATATGACTGAAGAATGCTTAATTTTATTTCTTTATTTTCACTCATTTTTTTTAAATGATAATTCAATTTGATTTCATTGCTTATTATTACAGCTCATAACTCAACAACCTCAACTTTAGTCAATAATACATCACTGATTCACTCCCTTTTATATGCTTAGAAGACATAATGTTCCCTTGTGTTTTAGCTGTTTATTTTGATCCGTAACTTCAGTGTATGAGACATTTAACTTATTCCAGAGGTCATCTATAAATCATGAATTTTATTGCTAAAGAAATTAATTACAATATCTATTACTGACATCTACATCATTTTTGAAGATAAATACAAAATGTGATACTGAAAGAAATGTAAGTTTTTTTATCCTGATAAGATATAAATTTCTACATAAGTAATTTACATAGCAAGAACAATAGCACCTTCTTCAAGTATTAATAATGAAAGAATTGAGAAAATGCTTCTAATTAAATAATTAACATCAAAACTTAAAAAGAAAACAGAAAAATTCTCTCTCAGTATGCAAATGATTCTTCAAACCTGTTGCTTAACATTGAAAAAATAAAAAAGGGCCTGATTCAGATGACCATATTTGACAGTAATTTTTTTACTAAAACAACCCTTACTTTTGCCATAAAATCAAACACAAAAATAAATATACTGATTCCTCTTTTAAAAGCTCGTTAATAATAATAATTTCTAATTTAATATTAATATAAATGCTTCCACAGTCTATTATAAATTATAAGAACCATGGCATAGCATAATTTCTTATAAAGCTATGAACAAAAAATAACAATTATTATAGTTTAACTCAAAATAGCTTATCTTAAACACAGTTTAGTAAACTAATAAAATTATAATATACATCATACTAAATATGATGAAAAACTAATAGTAAGTGCTACTAAAACTATTGACACAAACAGAAGATCCAAGAAAATCATTATATTTCACTAGCAATTGTAGCTTAGTTAAGATCAGGGTAACAGAATAAAAAACTTAAACTTACACCATCTTTTGCTGCAGCTAACTGTTTTTCTGCTGCTGCTTTCTTTTCATTATAATGACGCAATTCTAATTCATGAGTAAGTTGCAGCCAGTGCTGTAATGCAGGAGATGGAAACCACTTTTGTGCTTGCAAAGCTCGCTCAGCAGATCGTAAATCTTCAGTTACAATTCTTAATTCTTCTTCTAATCTTTGAATTTTGGTCTGATCAGCTTCTGAATTTCCACATGAATCCTGCTGTTTGCCATTTACAAAGGAAAAAAATAGTTTATAATAATAATAATAATAATAATATAGGCACTTCTTTTGTTTCCTCTACGACAGCTGAACTACTGACAGCGTAATTAATCAATCATATATCAAAAGACTTTAATGCATAGTTTTCCTTTTTTAAACTTAATTAAGATGTACTCAAAACATATGAAACTAAATTAACTACTCAAAAATTTAAACTTAAATTAATTCAAGAATTACTAAATTAAAAAATTTATAATGTGTAGAAGTTTACTTTTTTATCCAGGAATATATATCTGTTCAGGTCATTTAAATTCGGATACAACAAGTCACATGAGGGTTAAGCCCAATAGCCCAATTCACACTAATGCGATGAGTTCATGTAAAATAATGAATACTGCATTAAGAGCAAATTTTAATACACCTTCGGGTACATAGATAATAAAATTAACATCAATAATGAAGGATTTTTGAAAAGTAAGAACATTTACCCGAATTGCCTTAACAAAACAAATAAAAATGAACAAGAAGACTTTCTTGATTTAAGTGTTTCTGACTTCCACAAGATAAAATTATTTGACAAAAGGGGACTTTTTAACCTCCATATCGTTAAACTGATTAATTGGAATTCCAAAATTTCTAAAAAGAGTACTGCTAACACATTTTTCAACCAAATTCAAAGAATTAAAAATATCTGCAGAGAAATTAGAGTTTGTAAAATGAAATACTTATTTTAATAAAATGACAAGAAGACTTCAAGAAAATGACATTCTAAAATACTATCAGTTTGCACAAAGGCCTACGAAGATGACAAGATGGAAGGCAAAGGAAAACTCTACAGAGAACTACTAGTCATTTCTTCAGTTTTGAAACAAGATTTTTTTTTAAACCTTTCTAACAATTCTTTTAAAGTATAGTGTACTTCCTTGTGTCCAGTATTGTGCTAAAAATTTCATTTGAATTAAATTACATTCAGTAAAATGTTATAATTTGTGAGCAACACACCTCTGAATCTGTAGAATTCAACATTTTCCTTAACTAGTTATCCTCTTAGTTCATATTAGTTTGATTTTGCCAGAATCTACTACATACACTGTATTCATAACTTCCTTATGCAACCTTACTTTGTAAGCATTGGTTATAGACAGATCCTTCAAACAATAAAAATGTTTTAAATGATGCATTTTTTCATGTTTTCACATTTCTAAATTTAAAAAATCAGTTTTGTAAAAATTACAAACTCTAACATTCTACTCTCCTCCCTCGTTCACATAGTTAATGTCTAGCAAAAATGTATACTAATTTTAAAAAATAAAACAATAAGTTTAACACCCATATACTGTCCAACATATTTAATACTAAAATTTGGAGGGGGGGTCTTCCGCCTTTTCTTGGCCTTGAGGAGTCAGTTAAAAATAAAACTATACTGTTACAAATACTGTCTTAAGTGAAATTGGGACTTATAAATCTGTAACATTTTTTAAGTTACAATTTTGTTGCATTTGGGATGCCAAAAACATTTTCGCACAAGTCTTTAAGTGCTATGACTGCTTTAATAATATTTATATGCAGTTTTATTACACACAGATAGGATTCAGATGCAGTTAAGATCATCTGTCAACCAAAAAAAAAAAAAAAAAAAAGAGAGAGAGAGAAAGATTAGATATATTCTTAATTTTTAATGTATGCAAACCTTTTAATTTATGGCCTCGTTATGTGCCAATAATAAGCTTGCCACTGCTCTCTAGAACATGAATTATATAAGATAAATTCATGGTCAAAGAAAGTACGAACTCGTTTCATGCTCTAGAATTCATGTTCTGTTCTACAGCATGTTTCATATTCTAGGCTGCATGTCCTAGAATCCATGCTTTTGTGAATAAGATTGTCTATTAAGAAAAATTGGTTTTGATCTAAACATTTCATGACAATCTGCATTGACATGAAATCTTGCCACTTAACATATCAATACATATCAATATCAGAAGCATTTTTCTAAAGTGTTTCATTTTTTTATTACCTAAAAATTTAAATATTTAATTTTTCAATCAAAGTATGATCTTACATTGAACATAATCTCATATTCTAAAGTCATCTTTATCTTCATTCTAAATATCTTTATAAATTTCTGTCACACACCTGTAAAATACTTTGTTTTGTTTCTCAGAATGAGTAGAACCTTTACTAAACATAACTAAGTACTGGAGAGCCACATAAAAAGTTAGATTTCATACTTTATTAAACTGATTTTTTATATCTAAAAGTGCTAAAACATATCTATTTTGTATCATTCAAAACAGTTTTGTATTTGGAAGTATATGTTAATGCCCAGCAGTTCTCAAATAAAAAAAAAAGACTGCATAAGAACTTTAGTAAGTACATACATATACACAAAATGTATATCATTTAACATTAACTACAAATAAATAAAAGTGCATGCAAAAAGATATCAAACATAATTAAGTGATTTTAACAAAATTCCTGATGTTATCTGCCTTAAAACTGATGCCTCAATTGGATGCTTTCAAAGGGCACAAAGCGAAAATCACAAGAATGCAGTTATTTCTTTTGCCAGGAACTGAACCTGAAATGAACTAACTGCATTCTATGATCTTATCCATTCAACTGCTTTCAGACAGGCACAATAATGAAATAGTTTCAAGTGCTTTTCATGGGAACAGATTCTACTTCTAATACATGCTTGTAACAAAATATAGCTTATGGAATAATTGTCATGCATGACAGACAGAACAGGCACTTACTTTCACAAAAGTAATTTCATTTTGTAACCTACGTTCTAAGTTCTTCTTCTCTGTCACAACTAATTCTTGTTCAAGTTTTGCTTTATCTAATCTAGAAAATAAAAACAGAGCAAAATAATAGCCAAAATTTACAGCAAAATATAAAGTTTATTAAAATAACACCAAATATGGGTAAAATAATGTTTTTGCAACCAATGAATTCATAAAAGTAATATTTGCATCAAAAGAAAGGGGGGAACAAATAAGGATGCTAGTGCATGGATTTTGGTAATTTAACCAAAACAATACTTAACCTCTTTAACATCTTTTCTTAAAAAGCATGACAAATGCATAAGGACTAGCATGTCCAATACATAAGGACTACCACTTTTTACAGTGTTTAGTAGCCATTTTGCTCCTTGCTTATTTCCTTCCTTTTTTTGCATATCCTTATGCAAAAAGCTATATTGATGAGTAGAAAAATTAAGAAGCACAACATATGTATCTATGAATGGAAGGATTCCACACTAAAAAATACAGGAACATATCCTCACCCTTGCTTTGTTACAGCTATGGTTTCTAGTAAAAATTATAGTTTACAAGTTTCATACCATTACATGCCATGAACATTAAGATAGCTTCAAATTATATCTCAAGAGTGTTTTTCACAAAATACAAAGTAATGAATAAAAAATTTATTTAACTAAACCTTATACTAAAAAATACTTCACATGTTTTACATATATTACACTATGCATTAACATTTGCAATCTCATTTCAAATATATCTATTTATCAAATTAAACATTAACTTGAAATAAATCTAAATACTATTATTTTGAAAATTTAAATAATATTTTAAATAACTTAGGTTCATAATTTTCAGAATAAAATTTCAAGAGAACACATTGCATTATCAGTTAATAGTGATATTTTTGCTTTATAGCATGCAAAACAAATGCAAAAATTAATTTCAATCATTTTGTGCTGACTTAGCCGAAATTGGAAAACCAAAATGTATTGTTTCTTAACCCATTTCCTTCCTTTAGAAAGTTAAATATTTTTACTTTTGACAAAAATCTGAAACTCGCTTTAGCCTACTTATACTTTAATTACATGCTAGTTAATGCTGTATAAAACTCTGTGAACACATCCATTTTTCTACTCTTTGAACATTCTACAGTCAATACCTTTCCATAAACGACTATGCTAATCACATAATTTCATTCTCGATTGATAAGGTAAAACATTTTCTGTCTTACAAGGACAACTAATATGGTTCAAATATATAGTCAGAGAGAAAATTTTACATCAGCATTAACCAATTAAAATTTTATCTCCAGCATTTTGCTCAATGGATAATTTTGTTTTTCCAAATTACTAAAAAGAAGTTAAAGATTATTCACTAGCAAGAATATAAATTTTATTTGATTCAACTCTCATCTGCTTATATTACAGGCTGTATACAATATTATATATATATAATTTTTCAGTATTTCATAATACTCCTTTTTCTCTAAACAACTACATTTCAGCTTAAGAAGATAGCTTTAAAACTCGGAATTTATGAAGTTCGAAGACCACTTCTTCAGATTTCTTGACCAATTCTCCTTGATACATTTTGGAAATGAAAAAGAGTAAAATTCTCCAGAAAAGTCAAGAATTCCTTTCTACTCAAAAATACCACATGCAACAGTATTTATAAATTTCAAGGAAAATATTTTAAAAGAAGTTTTAAGAGTGCTATTTATTTTTATCATGTACATTATTTTATGCAACATATAAAAATACATGGACTGCACAAAATGTTTAGTGGAGACCAACTCAGCACCCATGAGCAACTTTTAAGTACCTGAGTGCGCAATCTTTGTTAAAGGCTGTTCAGACTGAGGTTTATCTGAGCTAACAGAGACAACTGACTTAGCTGACCCATTTCCAAAATCAGTTTTTCCTCAAAGCACAGCAAGTTGAAAAATCTGAACTGCATGCATAGCGGAGCTAGTTGACACATAGAACAGACTCCAGTAGCTCAGATAAACCCTAGTCTGAATGACTGACTGATTAATTTATTGCCGGACTATCACACAGTGTGCATTTTTTCTGGCTCAATCAAACTTTACCACACGAGCACATCACATGGTACTATCTGCCCATGGTATCCCAGAGGGAGCAGAGGAGGTGGAAAAAGAGGGAACCGAGGCATCGCGCAGTCAGTAAGCAGAGTGATCATGGACAGTATGTGGAATGTCCTAAGTTAATTGAAGAAAAAGTACGTCTTAAAGTTACAATATAAATACAGAAAAAGCAAAAATATAAAGGAAAAATATATACAATATGTACACGATATACAAGATATTGCACTATTATGCATGCTACTAAACATTAAGTAGGAAAGTAGAGTCATTTGCGAGGTGGGCCGCTAGTGGTCGAATTTCACAGTCTTTGTCTAGAATTGTATAATTTAGTGTGTTTAAATTAGACAAATGCGCACAGTTAAGAGCTTTCATGAAGAAATTCCTGTTGAGTTTGTGCAAATGCTGCTCAATTGTACTAAGTTTCAAGTCTCTGTGTAGAGTGGCATTGCTGACGTAGTAATGAGCATTAGTAACCATTCTAAGTATTCTCTTCTGAAATACTTGCAGTATGTACAGGTCTCTCTTTTTTGCCATATTTCAGGAGGGTGAAGCATGTGTAATGATAGGCCATATGTTCATTATATACACAAGCCACATTCGACACATATCCAAATTTGAAAACTTGTTAAGGGGCTTTAAACTGTTGATTACAGCAAAAGCCTTTATCCTCACATGTGTGACATGGTTGTTCAAAGTTAGTTTTTGATTCAGTACTACCCCAAGGTACTTGGCTTTCGTGACTTGCGGCACCCGTTCATTGAAAAGATAAAGTTTTCTTTTGAGTGGGTCTGTGTATGTTTCCTCCTGATGACACGTAGTTGCGACTTTTGCGCACTGATTAACATCCTCCATTTAGTACACCAGGATTCAATATTAGGCATAATGTCCTGCAGCTTCTTTAAAGCATGATTTGCATTAGCACACTTCACAGCTAAAGCTGTTCATCTACATAACATCCTAAAAAGTTATTTCCATCCAAGTGGGTACACAGGAAGTCTGCAACATATAATAAATATAAAATTGGTCCTAAAATGCTGCCCTGTGGTACACCAGCATTAATTTTTCTAGTGTCAGAGACGTCTTTACCGATGGACACAGAAAAGCTTCTATTTGTGATGAATGAAGCAATGAGCTCAATCATACCCCTTTTGAAGTTGAAATTAATTAGCTTGTAAATCAGCCCCTCATGCCAGATGCGGTCGAAAGCTTTCACTAAGTCCAGGATGAGGACGGCAACATTTTGTCTGTGGTGTAAGGCATCTCCACAAAATTCGACAAGCCTTGCCAGCTGCTTGGAAGTACAAAATTATGCGTGAAATCCGAACTATTCGGGCAGAAGTACATCTAAGAAGGGCTTGAGCAGATTTAGGATAACATGTTCATAAACTTTTCCTAGCCCCAAAAGTAAGCTAATGGGCCTGTAGCCCTCGAGCTGGGTAGTATCCTTTCCTGGTATTGGCAATAATATCATTTTAGCACACTTCCAGCAATTGGGGAATAGTCTGAACGGCCCGTTACAGATCACTTTAAGCCTCTTGAGCTGGGGTATTTGAAGATTGTAAAATCCTTAAAAAGACAGGGTTTTTCATACCTTATGTTTCCTCTTTTAAGAAGTCCCTTGCTATTTAAAACAATGGCCCTTTGCTTCATCCTTAAAGAGATACATTTACTTTAATAAAGGAAGGGAAATTTAGGGATTATTGACTAAACTTCTATGTGCTTTTCCTTACACAGGGAAAATTTAAAGATGCAACTGATTTCAAATCAGACCACTTACTGACACGGAGAAGATAAAATATATTTCCAGTTAGAAAATTCTCTATATCAGGGGTTCTCAACTGGTGGCATGCGTACCACTATTTCTAACTATTAAATTCAAAAATTAAAACCCCAACACCCTGATTGAGTTTTTTCTCTAACACTCGTAAATTTATGGAATCCGAGCTTTGTTCAAGAGTAGTACTTTGTAGTAGTAATAAAGGTTTTCAGTTCTAGTTTAGATGTTACATATTAATCAAAAGGTTGAGAACCGCTGCTCTATATAATATCGCATAGCTTTCCTTCTAACAAACTGTCCGAGTTTTTAAAGATTTTAATTTACATCACCAAATAAAGTGATACCAGACTACTCACTGACACGGAGAAGATAAAATTTATTTCCATTTAGAAAATTCTCTATATAATATCACATTGCTTTCCTTCTAAAAAATTGTCTGAGTTTTTATAAAGATTTTAATTTACATCACTTAATAGAGTCAATTTACAAAGTATTAATAAGAATTAATTCTATTATACAGTCAAAAGTCTTTAATCCGGACGTTCATAAACCGGAATGATCTATAATCCGGACCTCAAAGCTACAAACTTTGACGCATTATGCGTCAATGCATAATGTGTTAATGCATGTGCATAATACCTTTGCTTAAGCGTCTATGCATGCGCGTTTAATAACGGACGGTATAAGCTAAGCTAAAATTATCTAATTATCTATTTCAGTTAATATTGCAGATTGCATTGTTCCTTAACCTTCTAATTGAATCCGGCTTATTATTTTTTGCAGATTGTTAGAGCAATTTGATAAAAGTAAGCTTGAACTTTCGATTATGTCAAAAAGAATTTCCGATTCTGGAGCTACCAAAGGATCTACAAAGCGAAAGCATGTTTCAATGTCCATCAAACAAAAAGTGGAATTGCTGCAAAAAATGGATAAAGGCATATCCTTTAATTCTCTAACCATTCCCAAATCTGTTTATCAATTTCACGCTGCTCTGCGGGGGGGAAGGGGGGACGCGGCACGCAATGAACTGGAAGTTGATTTGTCAGCACTATCCTTATCTTCAGGGAGATGTTTTTATTTTATTCAGCTTATAATTCCTTACTAAATGTAGTATTTCATCTCAATGTACTCCATCTTTGATATGATTTAAAACAAATTCCTCGTCATTATAAATAACACGAATACACATCAAATAGTTTTCTGGTTGCAATTTTCTAATTTCGACTATGCGCAATGTATGCTTTACACATGCGCGTGTTGAAAGAAATGTTTAATAAAGTAAACAAATAAATATTAAGCTTTTTTTTGTAAATTTTGATACCCTTTAGATCACAATTGCTCTTTATTTCATAAATTACGGTTTAATATTTTAAATTTTATAATTTCTGCATGCCATCTTACCAGATTTAAACTGATGATCTATAATCCGGAAAAACCGATAATCCGGAATCACCGAAGTCCCGTCGAGTCCGGATTAAAGACTTTTGACTGTATTTTCATTTTAAATCATTACTTCTTATTTTGCTATTTTAGAGATTTTTTTATTTATCAGGTATCAATCGAAATATTTTTGTTATCAAGAATCTCTATAATACTTTCTTCACTATTGGTGGCAATATATTTTCTGGAACCATACCACATATTTTCTACACATTTTACAGCCTAATGCAGTCTCTGCAGATCCTAAATTTTTCTGCACTTCCTTAAAAATCTAAAGATTTTGTCATCCCTTATTTTTATTGCTCGATGCTTCTCTAATTTCTAAAAATTTTGCTTCTTTTAAATTCTATCGCATGAACTAGTGCTGAACTCTAGTGCCAATCTATCTCAATAACAGATTGTTTATTCTCAATTCAAACAGCACTAATCATTTGGCCTATGAGTATTATTTACAAAATCTTTTTTTTTTTTTTTTTTTTTTTTTTTTTTTTGCATATGGAAAGAATTTTCTCCTTATCAAAAGCACAACACTTCGCTGTGCAGTTAGCTAAAGTCTGTAATCTTCACTAAGCATAATGCCAACATAAAAAGTTACCATACTCTTTAATATTCAACTGCTAATACTTTTTTAAATGTTTAGAAATCGCTGAGCTGCCATGTGGTGATGAAAGTAAAATATAATAAATAATGATAGACCTGTTGGCATCAGAAAAAAAATTATTATTTATATGTAAAATTGACGATGTTTTGGTTTGAGATATATGCAAGCAAAATGGCAAGAGCTAAATTATTGATCATACAGATTTATACTAATAAATGTTTGTTTATTAGATATGGAGGTACTTTATTTAATGCCAAAGAGAAACTAAGAATAGAGGCTTTTCATGTTTTATTATGAAAAAAAATTAAACACACATGCACAGATCATGCCAACAATTTAAAAAAAAATGCAAGTGGTGGTAGAGATTTTAGATCATTTCGGATATTGGATATTGGATGTCCAGACTTTTGACTCTGTATTGCATTATCACAAACAATAAAGTTTGTAAATTTACACATGGATTATTACATATGTTCATCTGAAAATCCATATCAATGAGGTCAGTATATGCTTTACTACTGGTAAGCAGTAAAAAAATGTTAGCGATCACTGTTTCAGTGAGTAGGTTGTTAATTTCCACCTTTAAGACACTTCTATATTCAGTGGAGCATTTCTATCAGTTTTATCTAATGTGTCTCAAGTCATATATGTAATTTTTTATATTATTTTAAAATTCTTTAAAAGTTAAAAGTCATTCAGAGTTAATTATTAACAATGCAATTATAAGGCATGTATATCCAATCGGAAGTAAAATTTTATGTAAATTATAAATTTGTCAACTGAATTCTTCAGTAGAATAATAATTTTTTTCTAGAGGCTGCTATAATGCTAGTGGCAGCTGAAAATGCGCTTAATTTTATAAAAATATTTTTATTTACCTTACTTTTATAAATATTTCACAGCAGTTAAGCTAAAATGATGGCAAATTACTATTGATAAATATTTTACATCAGAGCTTAATTTTAAAACTTTGCATTTTAAAAATTCAGTAGAATTCACCAAATACCTTAATAAACATAAATTATTTATCACAGACTTTTAAAAAAATATTCAGAATTATATATCATGTATTAAAGGATATGATTATCTTTATTCAGTTAGTTTTCAAATGAATTCATTAAGAATAATAAAATAGAAACTAAAGGATAGATGTATTAAAGGAATGAAAAAAAATATTATTATTATAAAGCTATTTATCAATACTCACTCTTTTTGTAATTGTCTTAATGATTCCTCAGCATACTGTAAGCTTTCCATGTCTTTCATAGTTTTCCGTAACTGAGCTTGGGACTTTTTATGCTGAACAAAAGCAAACCAACAACCAAGAATAGCAATACCGAGTGATAATGTTAAAATAATATCCTTAAGATAATTGTGATCTGTAATTTAAAAAGAGTTAAAAACAGAGAGGAGTTAAAAACTTCAAGCAAACAATGAAATTTAAATTAAATATTTTTAACATGGAAATTCAAATTAATTTTTTTGGATCTTCAAGAAAAGATTAACATATGACAATTAAACAATGATTAAAGTGAAGATTTTATAATAATAGATTTACAATAACTTTGAGAATATTTTACAGATATACTAAGTAAGAGTTTTTTTAATTACTTTCGCAGTACTTGCAGTACGTTTTTATTAGTTTTCAGCAATTTGACATTCAATATGTAGTAGAATATGCATAATGTTATATTAGCAACCAAAACATACCACTGAAATGCACACTGTGATTTTTAACAAAAAATATTATTTTTCCCTAATAAAAATTGGAAAGAAAGCTTGAAATACTTAAGTAATGCACATTTCTAGTGATATTACATTAAATAGTACTTCTAATCATAAAGTCAATTTTCACCTCAACTACAGTTTACAGCCAGAAATTGAAACAAAAAGCTATTGAAAATATTGATACAGTATACAGTAATTCCACTCTGATTTAACATTTCAACTAAAAGTCTTTAAATATACAAATGATCCTCAATAAACTGGTCACTAATCAAAAGAGTTAACTGCTGTCTGTAATCTTCTGAGGCGAATTTTAAAGCACAGATTCAAATCAATAAAATGACCAGTTATTCTATATATATGGTGTGGTGTATTTAATTACGGCAAAGCACACTAGGGCTATCTGCCTGAGGGGAGGGATGCTTTCGTGGAGGACTTTCTAAGGGAAACTGGCTCGTATACACGTTACACATGGGGAAAACCACGAAAACACCCATGCAGCCAGCCCGTTCACGGGATTCGAACCTCAGACCGAACTACCAGTGTTCAGCGACTTTACCGCTCGGCCGCTGATGGGCCTCTATATGTATGGATATTAGGCTATTCAAATGAGAGACCTCTACGAAACTGAAATGTATCTCTATATATTTGAGGTTTTTAATGTCTAGAAAATTTACATTTTATAGCACACACACAATTGCACCAAATAAATGTATGTTTATAGATTGAAAAAGTATGTTGTAAACCATAATTTTTACAAAGCATTTTTCACTGTTTCCAAGGGATATGATGACAACATTTGAACTCAAATAAATGACTTGAAAGGGTGCCCTGAAAGTCTAAAACATTTTGATAAATTACATAAATGCAGTCCACTCTGAACACCAGATGTCGGTACTGAGATTGTACAATTAGTTATAAGCACATGAAGAATAGTTTCCTACTTTAGATCCTTCCAATGAGAACTCTTAAGGTGAACACTGACAAGCATGTGCATACTTGTCATATAAATTAAAATTAAATTTTAAATTATGAAACATTTTCTCAAATTTATTGTTGTTTTCATTTCAGTTATTTTTGTTTTGTTATGTTCATAAAATATTTTATGAACAACATATTATTCTGATTCATGAACTGCAAAGATTATCTGAATGAATAAGTCAGAAAAAAAAAAGGAAACTTTATCTTTTCTTGCAGACTAAACAACAACGGTCTTTACAAAGAAACACAGTGAAAGGAAGCTTAGACAGATGTGTAAGATACTACTCACATTTTATTTAACATAAGAAACATAACTGCAAATTCAGTCCAAGAAGTATAAAATCCCTGTAATAAAAAAACCACAGGTTCTGAGTACTAATGCAACAAAACTGCAAATATCTCACTAAAGGTTATCTGAATACTTAGAGCTCCAGTCTACAAACAAAGACTGGAATATAGCAGCAAAGTGTTTTTAACTAGCTGCTCTCTCAGCAAAGATTAAAAATGCTAAGTACATAACATCTCTTTTCTAATTGCAGTGCTTTTCACAGCCCCTATTACTACCATCATCAAAGTGGGATGAAAAAAAGACACACCACTAGAATATTCTACAAAACTCGAATTCTAAGTTTCTGGAAATGAGCTTGCTAGAAACTTCTGAAATGTACCAAAGTAGTGATGAATCAACAATATAATTTTGTCCCGCAGGCCGGTAAAATTTAGCAGGCAGTATCTGTGATTCAACTTCAGGTAGTTACACAACTCCAATATGTGTCTACACAAAGTTATAAATCTAATAAATTTAAGAACCTATTTAAACACCTAAAATACAATTAAATCCACTAATTATGCAAAATAAACAATAAATACATTTAAAATTATGATACAATAATGCATAAAATAAGTAACTAACAAATTATATATATATATATAACAAGGAGGAGGGGGGAAAAAAAGAGTCAAGAAACAAATATTCACATCAAATTCAATAATATATATTATGGAAAAGGTTAAGCCACATACTAAGGTACTAAAGAGTTAACAAAAAGAAATTTGTGTTTAAAATCGTTTGATATAAACTTTTAATATACAGACTAGAGAAATTTAAACTGTGTAGGTCTGTTTTATACACAGATGTATTCCAACACACAGGGGAAAATTTTAGATTTATAGTAATTTGTGAAGGAAAAGACACAGAATCTGAACACTTCAGATCATAGTCTAAAACCTCAAAGAAGAATTTACAATAAAACTTTTTTTAATAAAAAAAATAAACAGAAATGTTCAAATATTTATTACATAAAAATATCTTCTGTCATCTTATAAAATTAAATCTTTATTGTAGAATAAAACTAAAACAACTCTAAAAGAATTTTAAAACTATGGAAATATTTTATTTATGCAAAATGGAATAGTAAGGAAAATATCAGACTAATAACACAGTATGTTATCATTTGAACAAAATTTTCAAAAATATTGCAATTTATACATTTCTAAAAAAATTTATCACAGCCATTACATTTTACTTTAGATTGCATGCTGCACCATATTCAGAGTTTAAAAATTTTGCTATGAACCTTTTGTAGGGTGTTACAAATCTATTTTATTTATGATGCTCATGGTGTAAAATAGCACTTGTGCAAGAAGTCCAAATAAAAAAATTAAATAATTAAGCAGTACTGATGAAAGAACTTTTATAATATTGAAGACAAATGAAAGACCTTATGCATTGCATTGTTGGTGAGCAGCAGTGACATTTATGGTAGATAGGACTGTATTGTGAAGCAAAAATAACAGTAAAAGGAAAGAAAAAAAAGACAGGAAAATAAAACAGCTCATAAATATCAATATCTTAAAAAATTGGATATACCACAAGTGCATAAAATGTATTTCAATCTGTTATAAAAGAATAGGCAATATGATGACACATTTTAGTTATTTAGACTTCAATTACTTGAATCTCAGCATCCTTTGAAATTAAGTTTGCAGCTAATTTATTCATGTGCCTTTTAAAATTTTACCTTAATTTACGTAAACAAAAATTTTTTAAGAGTAAAATAGTACAGTATATATTTATAAAGAGATAATTTAAAACCAGATGTGGAGGTCACCATATTAAGAAAAATAAATTATATGAATATTTCATACATATTTATCTCACTTAATTCTGTGACATAAAATGAGAGATCTTTTGACAAATATGTAACTTATACACATATCAGCAAGCAATTACACTCCTATATATGGGTGTACGTTTCTATTTATTCTGTGAATCATAACTTTACCACATGAAGTATTTCTTTTTCATGTACTGATTCAGCAGTCATGGTAACATTACATTTATTTCCTTTCCAAATAAAGAAATGTTACATAGAGTAACTTACAAAATGAAGAAAACTACACATTTACTTTCTATTAGCTATTCAATGTGTGTCATGCATTCTGCATGAAATTTCTTATTCTTGAGAAAATGTGTCTGTGTTACTTTTCTCTCAACTGTTAACTGCAATATTTCAATTGCACAATTACTGTAATTGCTTACATAAAAATACAAAATATATATACAGATGGGATGTAATTACAGTTAATCACAATATTTGGAGCTATACTGTATACAGATACATGCAAATTTTATATCGCATCCTAGGTGGTAAAGTAAAAAACATAAATATAAATTATATATGCAGAAAATTAATTGCATCCATATACTGTATTATTGAAATAATTTCATAAAAACTTCCTGTTAACAGCATGGTGGTGAGTCCAACTCGTGTGAGAATTAACCTTAACTCTTGAATCACACTAATCAATTAAATAAAACTAGCAAATTAAACATAGTGATAAAATGCTATCTGCCATGGTTCTCTTCTTCCATTACTTTTGATCATGACTGATAAAATATTACTTTAAAAACACATACTAGGTTTCATACGCACATCACTAATTATGCTACTATTAGCCCCAAGAAACAGAGAAAATCTAAAACATTTTGACGAATAGTTAAACAGCTTGATTGATATTCACTAACTAACTAATTAAACAATGTTTTGAGGACTCTTCTGACATATACATGACAGTCATTAAAAAACTTCCCCGATATATCTGCTCAACAAATCGAAATGAAATTTCAGATGTTGTTTCAAGGTATGTGCTTGTCCCCTGTGTCTGGAATACTGCATGCCACGAAAGCCTTAATTTGAATCACTAATATATGGCCAAAGCTGCAATGAAGTGATCATACTGATTGCATTTACCTCAATACTGTAAAAGAATCACAGTACCACTACTTTGTTAAAATGCATGAAAGTTAGTTCATGTTACATAAAATTATCTTTTTTCCTTTATATTATCACTTCATTTCTGATTACTAGGGATATACGTTTGACATTTAAAATATTCATACAAGATAAAATTCATGTAACTACACAGAAGCTCACTACCTAAATTACAATATCCTACTCTTAAGTAGTAGTGCACTTCAGCATAATCAAATACTTCTAATCCTAAGTCCACTAAATGCTATTCTGCTTTTACAAATCATCTAAATCAGCACATTTTAGGCTAATGAAAGAAATCTGAAGAATTTTCACTGTATAAAAATATGAAATGCAGAAATATCATTGAGCTTTTTTTATGCAATGATCCCAAAAAAATATGACCTTTATTTAAATCAAAATATACAAGTATAAGGCAGTTTTGCATCAAGTTTTAATTCCTTTCAATGAACCTACACTGTGAAACAAAAATGTTCTGACACTCATTTAAACAATACAAAAGGAACTTGATTTACCTAAAAATTGTCTGCTTTAGCTATTTTCAAGGCCACGAAGTTCTACTTTCTTCTGCATTCTTCCACTCCTGCCGTTTTAAATTTTAGGCACTAATAATTCTTCGCATCTCTTGTATGGCTACTATTTTCAAGAAACTTCTCAGCACCTATTCTACTATTACTACTTTTAAATATTTTTTACACTTCATTTTTTGAGAGGGTCAAGCCTAATTCCTTACACAGTTTAAAATTTTTAACTACTTTTTCCTGCATGTGAAAATTAAATTTAAGAAGTAAAAACATCAACTCTATAGAATAGCAAGGATTTACATAAAAAACAACTCTCGGAATTTTAAACATAATAATTTCAGAGACTGGATACAACTAGCTTCCACAATATACAGGGAATAACTACACTATTAATCAATGTCCTAATGCCAGTTTCCATGACCTTAACTTTGGACATTTACATATACAGCAGAAGACTGAAAATATACTAATCTAAAACTCTTTAATTGTAATAATTACAAATAAATATTTGCATAAGCAAGACATATTGCTCATTAATTTTCATCACATATATAGTACAAAGTCCGTAATCCGGACTCGTCGGAACTTTGGCGATTCCGAATTAGGGATTTTTTCGGATTATAGATCAATTTCAATCTGGTAAGATGGCATGCAGAAATTATACAATTAAAAATATGAAATCGTAATTTATGAAATAAAGAACAATTATGATCTAAAGGGTATCAAAATTTACAAAAAAGCTTAATATTTATTTGTTTACTTTAACATTTCTTTCAATGTAAGTTGTTTAAGATGCTTCCACAAAAAATTCAGAAAGTTCGTTTTTCTTGTGTCATATATAATGGACTTTCCAATGCCATACTTCTCGCATAATTTTGAGACGGATAGGCCTTTATCCATTTTTTGCAGCAATTCCACTTTTTGTTTAATGGACATCAAAACATGCTTTTGCTTTGTAGATCCTTTGGCAGCTCCAGAATTGGAAACTCTTTTTGACATAATCGAAAGTTCAAGCCTTATTTTTATAAAATTGTTCTAACAGTCTGCAAAAAATAATAAGCCGGATCCAATTTGAAGATTAAAGAACAGCGCAATCTGCAACATTAACTGAAATGCCTTAGTTAATTTTAGCTTAGCTTATACCGTCCATTATACATTAAACGTGCATAAAGTTTGTAGCTTTGAGGTCCGGATTATGGACGTCCGGATTACAGACTTTGTACTGTATAAGACAAAAATGTAATTTTAAATTTAGATCACACAACTGCATTTTAATAAGGAATTTCTCTTTTTCAAGTTCCATGAATTTTTGTCATATAGCATATTCAGTTTCAACAAGAATCTAATGTATAATCAGTAACTGGTTCCCTTTTGGGAAAGCCTCAGTGAATTAAAATATCTCTAACTACAGACCACTTCTCCTTCACTAAAAGGCCTTTCACTAAAAAAATTCTTGTTTAGAAAGATGCTTGACTTTTTCAGCCAATCCCACACAGTCCGACATAACTCTGAGCCATTCAAAATTATTAATTACACCCTGTAGTGATAAAAATTTAAAACCTTCTTAGATTTGCGATAAAGATGTGAAATTTATTCTTTAGAATTCTGAATAATGATTCTGCACATTCTACTGTTCGCATACAAGCATAACGGGTGCATGCTTAAAATAAACAGTCTGCTGATAACTGCCACTTCATTGAGAAAAAAAAGTATCTATTACCATATCAGCACTGTTATGGTTTCAAACACATATAAATTTACAGAAAAATGTCACTTACTTCTGGGAGGACCAAATAAAACAACATCCATTGCTTTCAAAGATATTTTATGCTTGTGTATTGGATCCTTAATCCCCAAATTTGACAAGAAATGCATATTATTTACAGCCATTCTGAAAATATTATAATATATGAATTCACAGCACATTATATATGTAATAACAACAAATTTAGAAGCACTAATGTATGAACACTGAGACACAGAGAGACATTATATATGTGTATGTAATAAAAGCAAATTTAGAAGTACTGATGTAGGAACACAGAGACATAGAAATACAGAAATACTGATGATGCAGCACGTAGATGGCACAGAACGTAGGTTGGGTAGAACATAGGCACATAGATGGCACAGAATGTAGGAACGTAATTTGGATATTTCCTCTCCATATTTTAAAAGTAGTAATAACTTTTCTAGATGGCACCATTTGTAAATTATATCACACGGCTTGTGTAATGCCGATGACGTAGCTAATTTGAAACTTCAACTCAAAATTTTTAGAACTGACACCTTTCTAATCTAAACCAAAACATTCTCTTCGTGAGCTTCCGTAGTGGATAACTGTGCTCTTTAGCTTCTAGCTCTGTTGCCATTTGGACAGTGCTTCGCTCTGCTCTCTTCCTTTTGCAACAGTATCAAAAATGTAAATTTTCTTAAAAAGGCACAATTAAAATGTCAAGGCTAAAATGTCAATGAAATCAAAATGAATGCTTGATCTTACTTGGTTGCCAAGTTTCCTGTTCAATATGGATCTATGTTCTATGCCATCTACATGCTGTGCCATCAGTATTTCTGTGTTTCTACATCTCAGTGATCCTACATCAGTACTTCTAAATTCATTTTTATTGCAAACACATATATAGATATATGTTTGTACACATATAGTACATATCTGTATATATATATATATATATATATATATACACATTCACAAACACTCAATACAACTAAGAAAATTAAAATAAATTATTTTTAATTCAATTTTAAATTTAAAATTTCTATTTTTTTTTTTTTTAATTTTAAATTTCTTTTTATTTCTGAAGCTTAACGCTTATTACTGCAGCATTAAGCTTCAGTAATAAAAAGTAATATATATGGTGGTCCAAAAGTTCAAATATAAGCTTTGTGTCAGGTAAGACAATTTTTTGTAAAGGATACATAAACACAACCAGAGATTGCTAGAAAGTGTCTAGATGATGGTACTAATGGAGTAGAATGAAGTCATACAATCACAGAAAGATGGCAAATAGTTCATGGGAACAGGACAGCTACATAGCGATTGTGCAATAAAAAGTTCTGAAACCATGACATGCCCCAATCACCAAACATTTCCACTTGATTATGCTAAACAAAATCACTCCAATTAAACAGACATTCTGGTTAGGGCCAAGTGGCACTCACTTCTGCAGTGGAAAAAGATCATCCATGAAATGGAATGCGTATCAAATGCTAATTGATTTTTTCCTTGTGGTGTCACTTTAAAAGCCTTATTGTTATATTATAAGACCCCCTATAACAGCTCACTGACCTTGCAAGAGCTGCCAAGGCACATGTCCATGACAGCCTTCCATTTTTGGAGAAGTTCCTAATCCAAGCATCAATGCTGCAAAGTATGTATTGTTGTGGATATAAAATGGGACAGTTCTATATTTCCCATTTTACTGGGCCGATTGACAAAATTCAAATTGCGTTTTTCGTGTCTCGAAAGCCCGACTTAGGATATATATTAGATTTATACATAGCATTGTTCTAACATAGGTACTTTGACACAAAATCAGACTTTTTTGGAAAAGCATACCACTTTTTTTCCATATTTTGATTCTACGGCTCAAATTATGCCTACATATTGAATTTTGTAAAATTTGGTGCAAAATTTACCTTGCCACATTTGTTTCAGTTTGCGTCAAGAACAATTCACTTGGCGAACTTCTTAATATAGAGCAACCAATTTTCTTTTCCCTTCTATTATGTCGGAGTGGGAAAAAAAGGCACCTCGTTCCTATCTTTTTTACATTGTACATGAGCAGAGAAAAGGTCACATTGTTCCTACTTTCAAATAATTTTAGCAAAGTGTCTAAATCACATTTGATGTTTTATCACTTTTAACAAATATGCCAAATTTTAAAAGTGCCAATACATAAATTCACGTATATCTTCGGAAATTTTGAATAAAAACTGAAATTTTTTGCATGTATACTTAATACAGACTTTAAGAGATGGTAAAATATTATATTATAATTCACATTTTTTTGAAAAATGTATAAAATTATTTAAAAATACAAATTTTTAAAATAATTTTTAATGGGTGAACCTTATTTGATGAAGAATTAATGTAAAGGAGAAAAATATTTAATAAAGAAACCAAAAATTAAAACTTAAAAAAATTTTGAGAGCTAATTTTTTAAAAACTATTCGTGTGATTTTTACAAAAGACAAACTTCGTAGTTTGGCGTAATTTGAGTCATAGAATTGAAATATGGAAACAAGTTGGTATGTTATTTTAGGATTTTGTGTCAAAATACCTATATTAGAACAATAATTTATTTACTAAATAATATTGATTAATTGATTGTAAATCTAATACATATCCTAAATCGCGCTTTCAAGACATGAAAAATGCAAGTTGAGTTTCATCAGTCGGCCCAGTAGAATTGGAGATATAGAAATGTCTCCCACTTTTTTTTCGCAGTGTACAGTGATAATATAGAATAAAATTATAAATTTTGTTTCTAGTTGTAAATTATTATTGCCACAATAAACATGCATTGCAGACAATACCTACGTTGACTTGTAACACCTTGCAAATGCATTTGCAGCTACATGTTAAAAATGTTTGACTTTCATATGCCTAACCTATCTTTAAAATCTATCTACAAACTTTTGGAATTATCTGCATATGTAGGAGTCATAGGAACACAATTAATAAAAATTAAAAATGTTTTATAGCACATTAAGATGCAATAAATAGTATTAAATACAAGAAAGATGTATGAACATAAAGTTGTATATATCTAACGGTAAATTTCACTTTCTGCTAACACAATAAGCTTTTGCTTGCATATGTACATACAGGATAATTCAAAAATAAGTACACTATTAAAAATTATAGTCGGGAATTTGAAATTTGCACACAAATGTATAAAAGATAAATTTCAGAATTTTAATATACAGATCTTTTAGATATAATTATGTCCACTAAATGGCAATTTACAATACAATATTTAAGTTCAAGAAATTATTTAATTTCATAAGGATATCTGTGAATCACGAGACATAATGTGCTAAAGACAGTCCTAATGCTGATAATATCAATAGAGTACCCATTTCTTCTATAGCAGCAACAAGAGCTGGAATAAATATCACTCCTTCTTTTTTTTTTTTTTTTTTTTTTTTTTTTAATTCATAGAAGATATCTCATACTGCCTAATCACTCTTTTCAACCCTGCAGATTCACTGATCCTTCACCAAACATCATATTTTTAGCTGAGAATAATTTATCTTAGAAATAGCATTAACCTAGCAGACAAAAATGTCACTCAAATATCTGCATATTAAAATTATTCTACTCCTCCTTATTATACTAAGAACTTCTGCTGCACTGAGATAATTTAAACATTCACTGAAATTTAAGTTTTTAAATATTAACTTGGCTTTACTATCATGTGTACAGCAAGTAGTGCATACACAGTGTGCAAGTACAAAATGGAAATGGAAAAGGTACAAAAATGGAAGATACATTTTTATATTAAAAATTAATGACAAATGACTTATTTCAGTAGAGAATGTGCTTTCCTGTAATGCATAACAGATAAATTTGTCATTCAACAGTCCAAAACTCTACACCTGTCAAGTTCCCACTATACCAATTCTATAGGGGGTAGTGATGCAAAGGTGGGCGTGGCCCTTGTGGTCAAGTGTTAACAGTTCCTTGGTCAGTTTGAATATAGTAAGGATGCAGTGTCACACATGTGGCCAAGTGCTGATTCGTGCCTAATTAGAATATTGTAAAGAAAGGCAGGGTGTGGCCAAAGGTTGACAAATCCAGTTGCCAGTTAGGAAGTAGTAAGCATTGCGTTGCCCATGTTTTTAAACGTTAGTTAGCTTGAAAATTATTCTTTTGTTTTTGTTCAAAAACAAATTTTATTTCAAATTTTTGTTTAATAACAGCTTATACAGAAAGTAAAATGGCTTAGAAGAAAAATTACCTGGTTGGCAAAATAAACAAAAATAAGAAAATAAACTGGAAGAATAACAAAAAAATGAAGGGAAAATGCATGTTTTCTATAAGGTGGTCAAAACAAAGACAACTACAACTAAAGATGACGATGGAATTTTAAATGGGGAAGGTTCTCAAGAAATGAACACTGCAGAAACGACTAGCTATTTAAAGATTTTGATAATATAGTGAAATAGGTAGAAAATTTTAAAAATTCCAAATTGAAAAGATAGTTTTAAAGTGACCAATTCAAATCAATATTATTGACTTGAAGAAACATCTGCTTTTACAATATGATTTTATATACTGGTTGTTCATCAAAGGTACGTACAAGGTTTACTTCCTTAACTACTGATACCAGGTATGCACTTCAAATTACAAAGCTTCTTCACATCAAAGAGAATTTTACAGGGGCAGTTTCAATGCCCCTGTAAAATTCTCTGGTAAAATTCACAGGGGCAGTTTCAATGCCCCTGTAAAATTTCAATAAGGTCCCTGTAAGGCCAATGCCTAAAGTTTGAAAAGACAAAATTTAACTTTTTATATGACCACTGTAGATGGAAGAGGCAATGAGAAAAATATCTGCTTTATTTAAATGTAAGAAGTTTCATGCCTTTACATGGAAAATTCAGTGAAATTTTTGTAACACATATTTTCATGGGACAAGTGTTGTTTTATCTGATTCAAGCCCTTAGTGAGAAAATAAGTCACTTTTGTTTTGTAACTAGTCCTAATAGCCGAGACAAATTTTATTCAAAAATATGCCTCAAAATGGGATCTAAATCAGGAAATTTACTTTCTGATATCTTCAAGAATTTTGGACATAATTCTTTGCATTTAATTAATAAATGTGTAATGAACATAGATAGGGATCATACGAAAATGTTAAGATTTTGCACTTTCTAAATCATTCTACTCGCAATTCTGCAATCATTCCTATAAAACTCTTCATATCAACTAGACAGATCCATATCACTCAGAGGCACATGTCAGAGATCAACAGTTAAAAAAATTAAGCCTGTAGCCACCTTTCATGAACTCTTCATTAGCAATAAAATACTTCCACTTGTAAACACAGTTTAAAGTAGGCAATATATCACTTGGATTATATTAAATATAATACTGCATACCTTGGAAGCGATGTACCATCAACTGCATTTTCTTCAAACTGTTTGGCATACTGAGGAAGCTCTACAGACGAAATAAGCCACTGTATGGTTTCTTCCACAGTCCAGTTGTGAACTTGTAAATAAAACAAAATTACCATAAGCAGCTGAACAACCATAATAATTAATAAAATCAGAGAACACTAAGAATATTTTGTGGTTTTCATTGCAGTTAAATAATTCTACAACAGTTCAAAATGAAAAATGAATGCATAAAAAATTTAACACCATTACTTTAATTTCAAGTGTATGGATTCACACATTAAAAAGAATCTCATGTTTCAGCTGCTCCTTCACAGCATGAGTTATGTATGTTCTGGCATAATCATTCATAAAAACAAAGCTTGCAAAAACAACTCCTTGAAACACATGTATGTCGGAAAGGATCAGTTTTTGACAACAGTGATCTTCACTGAGTGTATGTCTACTGAAAATGTGGAGGTCACTGTGGCCATTCCGCATAATACTTCCTCCAGACAAAGCATATCCTGAACCATTATAACAGTCTCTTTCCCTGATTTAGTAGAATGATGCCATGTCTCAAATTCTGTCCATAATAAGCTGGTGTTCACTATCATTCGTGACACTGAAATAACCTTCATCTATAAAAAAGACTTGACCCCAATGATAATGTGTCCACTCTTTGTACTCTTTAAACTAGCCTAAGCAGCAGGTAGTCACTAATCAAATGAAATGTTCAAGACAACATATGAACAGGCCACTTTAATGATGGCATCTAGCCACATTAAACTACAACATTTAATGTTCTGTTGCCATATGCAGCTGATGAGCAATGTTCCCTGCTAGTTGGTATCAGTAACTTTTCACTGAAGAACAATACACCAGTCTTACATACATGGACGTCTCGTGTTTTTCAGCCAACTGCCACCAATCTTTCTCAAAGCTATGCCATTACTTTGGAATGCCAAAAACACTGTGGATCAGTAAAAAAACATTGGACTACACTCATCATGCTGAATCCTTCTTCAAGCTTACTGATCATTCTTTGACATGTGAAGCCATCTAAATGATTTCCTTTAAACACACCACACATCCAACTCACTTGCAGTGAGAATTGCCTTTAACTCCTTTGATTTCTGCTCCTTATCATATACTATGCACGCCTACTGTAGGCTTTTTTTTACACTCATGTGATCTATGAAGTCATGTTTCTGTTATTTGCATAAGCACAACACTTCTCTACTGAACTGGTGTTCATAGCGTTAATGGCTATAAACCCTCTTCTCCAATTTTATGGTGATTTGCTAAAATATTATGTCCATGCTAAAATTTTGCAAGCTAGCATATTGTTATGAAATGTACAGGCACGGTGAGAAAGCTTTCCTGCAAAGCAGGTTTAGGGTTGCCATAAAATCACAAGTACAGACAGGGTTGCCACATTTGGCGAGAAATCGTCCATTTGGCAACATTTGGCGATATAACATGGATGGATGGAGAACCTTCTGGAACGAATTCTTACTGGTTTAGCTCAGAAT